TTGTACCCAGGGCGGGAAAACACCTTGGGGTAGACGGGGCCGAATGTTAGCGAAGCAGCCTCTACCCACAGAAGCCCCTCAATGAGCGTGCCGGTGGGCCACTCGCCATACGGCTCGGGTGCGATAAACACATCTCTGAATCGAGCAAGACCCCACCGCCCGTTGAAAGGGTTGAAAACGACCATGCTCTTCTCGACCTCGTCCGCATACAAGGTGGGGAGCCGTCTGCGCAACTCCTGCTCCTTTCCCTCATAGGACAGGAGGAAATAGAGCTGGCTTTCCTTGACGCTCCCCCCGTAGGGCAGGGGTGCAAGCAAGGGGACCGCCAGAGGTGCGGGGAAGGGCGGCGCAGGCAAGGGAGGGCGGAGGGGGCGGACAGAGGAGGGTAGCTCGAGGGTGGGTCGGACGCTGGTGAGGAAGAGGTCCTAGCCGCTGGCGCTGGGGAGGAGTCCAGCTCGGAGGACACGGGCAAATGTAGCGAAGCTAGCAGCAGCAACAGTGGCAGTGGCAGCAGCGGCAGTGGTGGAAGCGAGCAGTAACATGGCAGCAGTGATGAGCGCTTGGGGGTGCACGCACCAGGTCGGCCCCAGGCAGGATGGGACAGACCAATCCCGACAGGTGCCGGTACATGTCATGCATCGGGGGTTTCATCCGTAGGAGTAAGCAGTAGGCACGAACTCTGCAAGTGGTGGTGAGACTTCTTGGCGAGCACTTGCTGTATGGGGGGTGACACGAACGCTGTTTTCGAGGACGATGGTTGGGATGAATGCATCAGGCTGTCGGGCTGGCTGGTTGGCGTTGTGAGTCCAAAGCGCCTTGGTCCACAAGCATACTGAGACTTCGGCTACTTTGACAAGGTGTTCGCGTCCATCTTGAGGCTTGTCGCAGTATTCACCGGTCGTTGATTTACCATGCAGTAAGCGTCACATCGCAGAGTAATATCTGCCCGTGTAACCCGTGATAACAGGGTCTTCACCCGTAATTGTACGGGTAATTGGTTACATGCGCCCGTAATTGACACGCAGTGCCACGTAATATCCGGCCGTGTAGCAGCCGGTACACAGTACGGTGCTATAAATTCGCGCAGAGCGCAACCACTAGCATCTCGAGAGGCCTTTTCAGCGGCCAGCTGCTACATTTGGTATCGAGACGTCGTGAAAATTCACGATCCTGAAGTCGTCGTTTCAATCCCACCGATCACGTTCGAGTGGTATATGGTTGAGACTCAGTGAGCAAATATCACACAAACTTCAAAAGTTTTTAATTCACCTGCAGCACCGCGTAATATCCACCCGTAATCACTGGGTATTCACCCGTAATTGTTCGCGTAATTGGTTACATGCGCCCGTAATTCACCTGCAGTACCGTGTAATATCCACCCGTAATTCCGGGGTAGTCGCCCGTAAATGTTCACCCGTATCCTTGTGCTCAAATTACGGGACCCGTAACGTGTTACGGACCCGTAATTTCTGTCAAATTACGGGTGGATTGACCCAAATTTACGGGTAAAATGACCCCCGTTTTCCCAGAGTGTCACCACCCATCACCGTGGTGCACAAGGAGGGGGCATTGTGTGTGCCTAGGCATTCATCCCTGGCACACTCCCAACACGGTTATAAAAATATGCGAACTCCTCAGTGGCAGGCCCCATATATACAACTACACTTCCATGTGGATTCTGTACACGAGTGCCCCATTGAAGCTCTCCAGAGGCACCTGTGGGTAACAGCCTAACAACGAGATGCGCTCCTGCAGAAAACACACTGGCCAATTCAGCACATCACGAAACCAGTTGTAACCAATCCCTGACTTCAATAGTACCAAGGCTTGCTTCACATTTCCTGCCTGATACTCATGCACACATCTTGCAAAAAACAGCCCTTGTAGGCTGTGGCTGTTCCTCAATCTGTCCACTGGTTCAAGAAACATGTTCCCCTTCCATGCATTTATCTCTGCCAGCCCGTCCATGCACTCGTCATAAAAGACAATTGCATGGACACGTGTGTTTGCATGGTCCATGAACATATACATCAACCTTGACCCCTGGGTTGAACAGCTCGAACACAAGGCACACAAGGTCCAAAATGATATTGGGCATGTATCACTTACATGTCTAACTTCTAATGAATACATGCAAACTGCCATAGTGTGCCAGTGTAGTATACTTCAGATGACACAACCATAGATGGTGGTATCGAAAGATACCGGTTGAGACAAGTGGAACGAATAAATAGTCGTTGTAGCAACCACTTGGGCCTCGTGCCGATAAGTTTCCAGTACGACTGGGCGGTGCGATGTTCGGTTGACCATAGTTCACAGGAACTACTCTCGCCCGGTGAAGCAGACGAACCAGGAACGCAGGTTCCAGCTTTACGCAGGTAAAGCCCCCGCCCATACGCCGGTATGGACTTCCGCAGCAGTGCGGCATTTAGATGGCGAACTCGACTAGCAGCAGTCGCAAGCCGCCAATAAACTAATATTAGCATTAGTTAAACCTGTTATCAACGGCAGCGGATACAAACAGGTATTAGTTAATAACAACAGTGTTAGAACTGAACGGACCGGCATCTGACCGTTAGGCAACCGAGCCTAGAGCTTAACAGTAAGCATACAGGATACAACAGCCAGTGATGCACTTTCTTGCCCCCCTAGCTGGAGTCCTCATAGGAGTCCTCATGCCGCTGCACAGCCGGGGCACAAGCTCCCTTGGTGAGCTGAAGGGCCTTCACTGCTGTCAGGCCAGGTGCCAGCTCCCACAATGATGAAATCGCCGGTTTTGCATCCACAAGCACAGTGTGGGTCTCCACCCCTGCACCGCATGCATTATGGAGAGAACAAAGGCACCAACATGGCTCAGAAAACTAGGTGTATTGGGTTCTGGTTGGGGTGAGGTAAAAAGCTCCCGAGACAAGCGAAGCATGAGGTTGTTCATGTGGTATGCTCTTGGATGTGCACATGAAATGTGTGTATGGGTGTATGTATGGGCCTGTGTCTAGCACTAGCACGGCTACAATGAAAAGGATGCATAAGCGCCCTGAAACCTCGAAGACTTGGTGGTGCCTCGTGGGTGTGTTCAGTACGTGCGCATTCCGGTGTGCATTCCGGAGTGCCACATCGACAAGCGCAGCTACACCTTGCGTAAGCCAGTATCCAAGGTCCCGACCCCCAACAAAACTTGTGCTCAGCATTTGCTGAAGGAGCTTGATTATATTTTATCCAGCAGGGTCTAACGCTCTTGCTACTCAACCGCATCGAATGCGACCTTACCGTCAGTCACCGCCTTCACGGTCGCAAGGTCCTTCAGCCCATTCTCGAGAAGCTGGTGCGCACTTATTGCATCCGATGCCTCGTTGGCGTCGAGCTCCGGCCCGTTGGTCAGCAAATTGGCCAGGTCCGCCATAAAGCCCAGGTCCACATGCGCCTCAAGCCATTACCTCTTCTGCATTAGTCAGGCAACGTGTCGTGCATACCAGTCAATACATCTCGCCATCGAGACGGGCACTGTCGATATGGTGATCCATTGGTGCACTAGGTAGTCACCAGCCCTGGCAGTCACCGAAGTTGCGCCGTGGTCACGTGAGATGTTACAGTAGATAATTGCTTATTACCTGAGAAGGCTGGCGCTCATGCTCCTGATCACAGAAGCCATATGCTCCAGGAGCCCCAGCCATGCTTCTGACAGGCGTCTGCTGATCAGTAAACTTGCGATTAAACAATCTGCAAAAATTAACGAAGACGGCCTCGACACGAAAGGTATGGATGGCATGGCCAAGGCCCCGCGTCTCCTCCGGAACCAACTGCACGACATTGAGGGACGCTTCCAAAGGCAGTCGCGTGGCGATAAATATGCATAATTATCCAATATATAAGTAGGTTAAATGTCGGAAACTGTGTAAATAATTCTTGTGCTATGCGCACATGCTAACATTACTGGCTCAACATCATATGTCGACACCGTTTCACGAGGCATGTCCTGCTTATTGGGTTGTACTTCATAGCTGCGAAAGCCCCTGGTATTTAAGCAGCTTATCATACAAACGATATGCAGGTACGACTGCCGAATAGAAATTCCGTACAATTCCAAAATGCGAAGGCCACGGCCGGCCGCGCAAAGGTCAGCTCTCGAAAGCCGAGAACGCGGGCTTGACACGTATGTGCGTAAAATTCGCGGCCGGGCGAAATTCAAAGGGGAGCTGAAGGTGCTGTTCACGGATGACCGGCCCTATTTTGACCACAGGCCACGTCATAGAACTGCAAGAATACGGCCCGCCTACAGGCCCGAATGCACTGCAATTTCCACAATATTATATTAGAATCATAAACCTTCCAAAACCATGCTAACAGATTACCAAAAGACTATCACCATCAAGGAATTCGCCTCCTGTTAGTAAGTGACAATAAAAGGCAAATAGGGCCGGTCATCCGTGAACAGCACCTGAAGCGGCTTGATTATCATGCCCAAAATGTGAAGCCCATCGGCGAGCCGCGCAACAAAGGGTCTGTCCTTTTCAGGAGCCAGAAGTGCTGGTGGGATAAGCATTATGCGTGTGGAAAATCGCGGGCGGGCGTTGACGGACGCCGGTTTGGCTGCGGTGCGAACCGGCCAGCGGGATGCCCCCGCTACTGCGAAACGCCACAGCGTGAAGCAGCGTGAAGTCGACCGCAGGTCATTTGGCATGCTGGAGTCCACAGAACCACAGAATCATTGTTAATTGAGCTGCTTTAAAGAATGAAGTATCATTGAGCTGCTTTATACTGGCTGCTTAAATACAATTAAATACAAAAATCTTACAATAATACAAATACAACAACAACAAATAGGGACAGTCGGGAAAGTAAAACAAAATAAGCTGCTTAACAAATAGGGACAGTCGGGAAAGTAAAAAGAGCTGTTTTAATGAGCTGCTGAAATATAGGAAACAATGAAAAATAAGAAACTTCGCTAGCATTTTTTGTCGAGGGAGATGGCGACAAGGTAACAAAAGGCAGACATCAAAAGTATGGACCTCACAAGCGCGATACAGGCATGGGCAACGTTCAACGCAATTCCGGCAACCACGGTGCTGGCGTTTGTGCGACCGGAATGGAGTCTTGTAACGGCGCGGAGTTTCTTGAACAATCACAAAGGGACATTACACCTGGGTACATGCAGCTTCGGTCGGCGAGGCAGGCCCATGTTAGCAGTGCGGTGTAACGGAGACACGCAACGATTGCTGCACGTTGCCGGCGTCCCAGGTTGGTTTCACAACGCGCTCATGCACCAATTGGAAATTGCCTGCCTGGGTAGCAGATTGCAAATAGCAATGAAAACACATGTGACCTCGTAAAACGGCGCGTTACATGACGCAGGGGACAAAACAGAGGCGTTTTGGCGTTCAGAGCTAGGCCTGGCGATGAATCCCAGCTCAGATGCCCCCCAACGCGGCGCCGCACCTACAACGTACGAACCTCCCTGCTGCCATGCTAGTCCCGGCTCATGTGGGTGCAGTGGGTCCGCTGAGGCCGGAGTGCCAGTGGCAACGCCGTCAGCCGTGGCAATACTGGCAGAGCCACATCAGCTTCCACAGCACCAAAATCCTACATTTCAGGCCCAGACCTCGTAAAAAGTCGAGCGGGCGCGTCCGCAGGTCATTTGGCATGCAGGAGTCCACAGAACTATTGAACTGCTTAATAATGGCTGCATAAATAAAAATTGCGAGAGAAAAAAAAGAAGAAAGACAATTAATAAAAAAGATACACACCAGTATAAAGGATAGCTCGCGGCGACGCGAGAAGAAAGCGTCAATGTTAAAAAAGGAAACTTTCACTGGAGAATAGAATATTCGCATGCTTGGCTTGCTGAGAGCAGCCTTCATAAGCAGCGGGCATGGGCAACGTACACCGCATTGCCGGCAAGGGTGGTGCTGGCCTTCATCCGACCCGAGAGGAGCGCTGGTTCCTTGAAAAATCACCAAGCGGCATTAAGCCTGGGCACATACAGCTTCGGTCGGCGCGGCAGGCAGGCCGATGATAGCTGTGCGCTGTTATCAAGACGCGCAACGTTGCTGCATGTTGCTGGCGCGTCAGGTGTGTTTCGCAGCGCCCTCGTGCAGCATGTGTTGCACGCCTGAAAGGAAAGACTGGTATCAAAACCTTGCAGTCACCACAGCCGCCCGCTTGTTTTGGGGCCTAAAGACCTGCCTACATCCCTACAACCCTACAGTGCACCACGGTTCTACAAACTTTGTGTCGTCGACAGCGCCGGGGCGCCATACATTTTCCCCTTTTCAACGTGTGTGTAAACGGTTGTGATGTGCGTCCGGCTGCCTGAACAAGCTGTCCATATCCCCACTGCTAGCAGTGGCTTCCACCCACCCACAGAACACTTCCACATACGCAATGTTTGGAGCGGAATACCGCAATAAGTCGTGGGGGTAAAGGAGCGTGTTGACTGGTTGTTGACTAAACCTCTACCCGAAGGAGCGATGATAACGGCACTAAGAGAGCGTTTGATGAGCGGATGGGACCATACGCGTCTGACTGTCTTGCCAGAGGAGTACCCATCAGATGGGAAGCAACCTGGAGTGCAAATGGCGAAGTATAAGCACTGGATGGGGCTGCCCTTTTCGGGAGCCGCAGCCGTCATGTGGCCAACACATGCTAAGGTTTTCATTCCTCGTTTATTCCTCGTTTACCACATCGAAACCGCAATGACCGCGGCCAGCTGCTTCAGAAACCCACGATGATTTTGGCATTGAAAGTCTCTGCTTCGCTGCCAGTGTGGATGGTGATCCATTGGATCACCTCTCTTAGCTACTCCGCCCAAGGACGTGTTAGCTACTCCGCCCAAGGGCTTGTTGTTAATTCTCGGGCTTTGTATGAATGAGTCTATTGTTATGCGCACATGTTAACAACTTTTGGCTCAATATCATATGTCGACATCGTTTCACGAGGCATGTCCTGCTTATTGGGTTGTGCTTCATAGCTGTGAAAGCCCCTGGTATTTATGGCATTGAAGATCTCTGGCGCGCTGCAAGTGTGGACAGTGAACCATTGGTTCACCTCTCTCAACGTGCATTCTATCTTCGACCGCCCCACAGTCGCATCTGTAAATGCTTGCATCAAGGTGTTTAAACACAGTATCCCTGCTTAAACTCTTCCATATGGCACGATACTGCAGAAATGGCCAGGGTGCGCAGCTTGCTTTTTATGTTTCAAGTTTTACTTCGTTTGATCATATACCCGCTGTAAAATTGCATTGGGCGTTTTTACGCACTTGCATTGCCATCGCCTCGCGCCTGTATGGCACTGTGTTTCCGTGTCACGGCACCCTTCTATTAGGATTGGACCCCCCAGCCAAAATTAAGGTTTTACCGAATCAGTCACACGATTACAGCTCCACGATAAGGATTACGACACGACCAACAGGATTAGGATTGGGACCCCAGCCTCAGGGTTAGGATTGGGACCCCCCCCAGGATTGGGATTGGGATATACCTGCTTCAACGGTACAATAAGAAACGGGATAACGGGATAGGACACGTCATGTCATCGTATCCTCCATCCAAATTATTGCGGGTATACCAGTCCTCGATAATTATCGCAGATTTGCACCCTTTGCGGAAATAGTTCGGAAAGTGCGGATATCTTAGAAAACCTTAAAATGCAGTTATTATTATGTATTTGTGCATGGTATAGCTATACGAAAACTTGTGGCGGTCGTGCGCCCTGTCAGGAACAGTGCTAAGGGGGTGTTGTCATGATGATCGGTCCCTAACCGCTTTTAACGGCCCCAACTCGTGCAAATCTCCACGTAGAGGCTTCAATGTATTAGTTTGTGACGGACGTGGCTCACTGTCCACTCCCGACCCACCCAGGGGCTGTAACGAAGAGGGCCGCTTGTCTAGTCTCGACACAAGGGGTTGGGACGGACGAGGATCACTGTCATTTGTCCATCCCCCACTATCAGTTGTTCACTAATGACCCGCCGCTGTCCTCCGAAGGTGCTGTAATTGCCTCGAACAAAGAACTTCCAGGTATCGTCACACGGTCTACCGGACTTATTCTTGACTGCAAGGACCTCAACGATTGCCGATTGGCTTGAAACTTCATCGGCACCCTTCTCAGGGCTCGCAGCAGACATTTCTCTAAACAAGGTTTAGAGTCAAGCGCTTCTGCAAGCTATTTATATGGAAATTGCGCGCAAAATCGTGGATTTGACTTTCCGCCGTACCGCAAGCGCGAGAAGTGCGGAACCAGATTCCTCCGCGTGCATTGTGGCGGCAACTTAACCAGGGGGCGACACCTGATTGCCCAATACGTGACGTCAACAGCTGGCGCGATTATTTTGACGCACTATACAACGACGAGATCAACGCTTTTAATGAGGTTAGAGCGGATTACATGATGAACCTCGTAAATGGGTGCTCACTTACAATACCGCGCGGCTGGGCTGGTGAGAGCTGCTTAGCCCGAAATCAGAGAGTAGCTGCTGCGGCGGCCCTCAGTGCCCCGTTTACCTTGGCAGAGGTCATTGCTGCACTATAAATGCTGGGCAACAATAAATCCCCAGGACTTGAAAGGGCCCCTGCTGAGTGCTATAAGTATGCCACTAGAAAGGTGGGCGAAAAGGAAGAGATGGTGCTTGCACCGTATTTGCTGCGTCTGTTGGAACATATCCGGTCGACTGGGGATTACCCAAGGCAGTTCGAGATATCCGCCCTCACACCCATCCACAAGAAGGGCGACGTCATGGATCCAAAAAACTACCGGGGGCTTGCCGTCGGTGGGGCTTTGTCTAAGCTTTATGCGTTATTGCTCGACCGGAGGCTAAAAGCCTGGGGGGAACGTTGTGGTGCGCGGAGCCCTTATCAGGGTGGCTTTCGACCACGGCGCGGCACCACTCAGAATTTGTTCTTGGTGCGACACCTCACAGACCGATGCCGTAAGGATTTTGTTAACGTCCCCGGACAAGCGTTGTTTGTTTGCCAGATTGATTTTGAGAAAGCTTTTGACCGGGTTAATCGAGAGCTGCTCTGGGTTAGACTTGAGGAACGAGGAGTCACGGGCTCTGCGTTAGATGTCATCAAGCGCTGCTACAATCGGGTGGAAATGCGAGTCCAGGTTGATGGAGCAAAAGGAGAGGCGATTCCCTCCACCCAAGGGGTCAAGCAGGGTTGCCCTATGAGCCCCACGCTCTTCGGTTTTTTTGTCGAAGGTTTTGCAGATTACATCGATGCCCTAGACGTCGCACTTCCTGACGCCATGGCGGCCCATGACACCCCTAGCGTTGAAGGACGTCGAGTGCCCCTATCTCTCTATGCTGATGACTTGAGCCTCTTCGCGATGTCATTGAGACGGTTGATGAGCTTATTACGGGCACTGCGGGAGTGGTCAGAGGCTTTCGGTCTCACTGTCAACGTGCAAAAGTGTGAGTTATTGTTTTTTCACCCCAATGGTCAGGTTAGAAGGCAGGTCTATGCTCTCAGCGGATACAACCTGGTCACCATGCGCGCACTTGAAGAGGGGTTACCGATCTTCCGTCCGGTCACTTGGAAAACACGCGCCCGTTATCTGGGGCTGCACTTCGGACCAGACTCGGGTTTTGCGTCTTGCACGGATGAGCTGTTCTCGGCTGGCCAACGGGCCATGTTTGCTCTGCGTAACAAGCTGCGCCGGCAGGGTCTGCTGCTACCTAGCGTCGGCATGAAGTGTTTCAATGCGCAAGTTCGTTCTGTCTTATCATACGGCTCGCAGGTGTGGGGGGCTGACCAGGTTCTCGCGATGTTGGACAAGGGCTATCCGGCTAACGAGGCACCGCGGTCATGCTATTTCGATGTGGCTATACGAGACCGCATGGTCAAGCTCCAAATCTTTTTCATGAAACAATTGGTAGGGACTTCTGTACCACCCCTCCAGCTTCTGTTCATGGAGCTAGGTCAGATGCCGCTACAGCTGCACTGGGCTGAATCCGTATTTCGCTTCTGGAATAGTTTGGTGGAGGATACTAGTAGCGTATACCACAGCGCCTTTCGTCAGGAAATTCGTTTGGCGTTAGTAACGAATTTACAGTTTGATGGTTGGGGATCCAAAGTCATTCGTATCCTTAACCACTTAGAGCATGACTGGGGTGAGGAGGCAGTCGGGGGAGGCATTGATATGAGGGTTAGACGTTACTCGGCTTGCAAGCTTGATGTCGAAGCGCTGATGGATACCCTTAGGACACGTGTCAACGACGACTGGGCGAATGATAGGCTAGATGTGGACCCTAGAGTTTTCGTTACGGACGGTAGGAAGCCCGGCGTGAAGATGGGCCGCCATAAGCACTGGATGGGGCCACCGAAGCCGTACGCGGGTTATATCCCCCCGGCGCATCATCGTGCCCTAATCCGCTTTCGTTTGTGTGTCTCTGACCTGGCGGTTAACAGTGAGAGCAACAGGGCTAGGGAGCACCGCGTGTGCGCTGTGTGTCGTAGTAATGGTGCTATTGAGGATGAGAAACACTTCCTGGTAGAATGTCCGGCGAATATGTCTGCGCGTCAGAAGATCTGGGACCTCGGTGTGCCCGTCAATGCGAACATCCGTGATATCATGCAAGTGGATGATCAGCGTGGTCTTGCAAAGGCTATTTTTGAGATGTTTCGCTCCCGGCATGAGCACCTAACTACCTAACTTTCTCGGCGGTAATAGGCAATTGTGTTTCAGAGTCAAATTGACGCTGTTCTTTCTCATAAACACCCGTTTTCTTCTTGCGTAAAACTTTCCTTTTTTGTTGTTTGTTTTGTTTGCTTCGTTTACTTTTTCTCTTTTTTTCTTTTCCCTATCGACGGCGCTGTCAAAGCGGTTCATGAGCCTCCGGGTTCGTTTGGGCCGTACGAGCTCGCTGAAGCTTGTAACATCCATCCATCCATCCAGATTCCTCCTATCCGCGAAACCAGACTCTGCTTGCGGATGCGGACGGAAACTGTTTTCGCAAATTTACGCTTTCGCAAATTTCCGTTCCCGCTCGTTCCCTGGGTCCAAACACCCACCTACTATCCTAAAGTCCACCTGTGAGTATACCCGAATAAATTATGAATATAAAATAATATTTCGTATTGCTATACATGTCCGTTATCCTAGCGGCATGTTGTTTAAGCAGCCCCTGCCCCTGCTAGTTAGTTAGCTTCCAGTTCCCAACAACCTCATTATTATCTAAAACGCATGAGCACCAGGTGCATACAGCCCCGGTGTGAGCGAGCAATCCGCACCAGCCGTGCTCCCTTCCTTACTACTAAGATGCCCCCGTCCAGTTCAGAGACCGGCATATGCCTCAATAACCCCATGCAGTGACTCCGGTGGGAAACACTCCCCCGGGTCAGCTATAGGGTCTTAGCACATTATTGTCCCGCCGGGTCTCTCACCACGGAGCTCCGAAACCTAAGAACAGGGTTGGCCCAATCGGACGGCAGTGGCCTCACTGACATAGCTTATCACGGTAGAGACAAGTCATGGCGGGATTTCGTGCACCTACCACAAATCGCATGAATGCACACGCAGTTCCTCGACCACAGGGTTAGTCATAGCGCGTTCAAAACTCACGTTAATAAGGTCGGGGCCCCACACCTCCGCCCCGTACGATAAGGCAGGGACAGCAGGTGTGATGTAAGGGTCCGTACAAAAGCTTAGGCACTGTAACATATTTACATCAATACATACACACATACACATTCATACATGGGTTTGGCACTACTGGTAACGCGCGACCATTGCCCCCGGGAGATCCCGGGATCGATAACCGTTAGGGTCAAAAATCCTTTCGATGGCGGAAGGTATTGCGCCCCTAGTTGATGGACGGTGGTGACCTGGGATAAAGTTAACCTGCGAGCCGACCAGGAATGGAGTTGGGCCGCTGTCGACCCGGCAGATTTGAGATTAGTAGTAGTCTCCCTTGCAGGCTCCCCAAAAGGAAAAGCACGGCAACTCAGCACGGGAGCAACCGAAGCGCCAACCCCCGGGCGATGGACCGCCGCACGTATCAACGTGTTAAGCTCACTCCCCCTTCGTGCTAGGTGGCCCTCCATTGCCTGCACTCTAAACAAACCCAGCACAGCGACTCCGTCCCGCCTCAAACACCCACACACGGTTGACCACACGGCGGCTCGAACTGGAGGGATCACAGTAACCCGTGTCACGTGTCGCGTTTGTTGCTTCTCCTGTTGTGGCCCATGTCGCATGTGCGACCCCTTTCCTCATATATGATACGTCTATGGACACGTAACGATCCTCAGGTACGTCTCCCGTACGTATGGTTGTACGTATTTACCTATGTACGTATGTACGTACGCTTCCTTCCCCCTTTGCTTGTTTGAAACCCACGCGCCCGCACACACACACACACACACACACTCGCTGTTGAGCACTGCACTGCGCTGCACGCCACCCTACACCACAAACTGCGACACTAAGACTTCCGCTCACTGTCCCACAACAACTGCTCCGACGCCGGCAGCAACAAACGCCCCTTCAGCCGCCTCCCCCCGCCGCCGCCGCAACACCCCCCTCCCCAGCGAGCTGCAGCCGCGGCGTCACCAGTGGCCGCAGCTTCCCCGGCGCCTCCTGGAGTGGCCCCAAATCCAACCGCACCCAACATAGCAGGTGGTTGGGGTAATCCGACGTCTGCGGCTGCGGCTCCGGCGGCCGGCACACCCCTCGCTCTTGCACGAGGCCCGCGTGGGTCAGCGGCAAACAAATGGCGTCGAACGCTCTTAGTTCTTGGGCGTGCCAGTTGGTATGCAAAGTAGGGCGCGGCGCTGCGCCGCCATGGAGGTTATCGCTGAGGGGGTTATTTCCGGTAATCAGCGCGTCGAACCAGCCGTTGCGCAGGAACCTCTGCCAACTGTTTTCGTTTACCTGGCCGGAGGCGGGCCCAGCCGCCCCCGACATTCTCATGGGGCAATTGAAGTCCCCCAGCACCGCCAGCAGCCCGCGCGGCTTGCGGCTCCGAAAGAGACCTCCCAGGCAGTGGCGGTGGAAGAGGTGGCTGTTGGGCTCCCGGATGGCGGTGGCCACCAGGTGCAGGGCCTCCAACTCGGATCCTGTACGACATACGACATACGCCACGTGAGGGGCCTTATGGGTTCGCCGTGAGGAAATTGGTTTAGGTCATGACCTCGAGTTGCCCACCCTGGTCTCATGGTTGGTTGTGCTGGTCGGATCCAGTTTGAATATTACATTTTCACATTCAGCATGCACCCAGGCGCCGTACAAAGTTGCCGTACAAGGCGCAACAGGCACCTAAAGATACCTTTTGTGAGGAGGGGCCTCAGACTACACCCTTTCATAACTCTCCCCCCCCCCCAACACACACACACACAATGCGTCCCAAGAAGGGACGAGTCGCAGCACCACCCAAACACACACTGCGTACGTATACGTGCATAGTTGGTTGCCGTACTGCCGTACGGTGCTCCTGAAAAACTCACTGGCTTCATCCTCGTCCGCCGACAGGTGCACATTGACGAGCAGCACGTTGGCATATCCCACCCTGGCGCAACGGTGGAAGCAACAGAAAAAGAATACGACAGCGGTAAACAACCAACATCAGGAACGACACCTATAAGGGAGGCCCGAATGTACGGAGCAATGAAGTTACTGTGCGGGGGGTAATTCGCTACCGCCTACCCTACCCCCTACCCACCGGAATAGTCCGAAGAAAGGGCTCCGTCGGAGGGCGATATTTCCGGAGACCCCCCCTCCCCCTCCTCCTGGCTGTCCCTGCCCCTGTTGTTGCTGCTCCTGTTGCTGTTTTTTTGTCTTCCCTTTCGGTTTACGGATCACCTGTTGGGGGCCAGGTGGAAGGTCGAAGGCGGGGGTGCGGGATTGCATGCAGGTAGGGCCACAAAGGAACAACTGCCGATGACCAAGTTACCACCAGCTTTCGTTACGGGTAGGGAAGGAGGAGGGGCGAAAGACGGGGAAAAGGGGCGAGGGGAGCAGAGACGGATACCGTGCACGTCGTTGTCGCCGGACAAGTCAGGATAGGGTCAGTGCAGGCAGGCGGTTACACCTCTAAGGCCAGCAGGTCTTAGTTCCGACCCCTTCCCCCTTCCCCCTACTCCTACTACACTCTTGCTCTGGCAGCAGCTTCAATCGTGTGTGGTTCGC